AAATTTTGACAAATTTGGATGTATTCAAGGTGTTTGAAATGGGTTTTGATCAATTTTGGGTAATTTGGCAAAATTTGGGATTTTTAGCCAAATTTAGGTTCCAAGGGCAGTTAGGTAATTTGTTGGAGGTGCATAGGGGCAAAAGACCAAGTTAGGCATTTCACATAGAATTGGATAAATATTCATTCTAGATGAACCATGGATTAATGTATTGTGAAGATATGGTGTACCCTAGTTCCAAGTCAACCCCCTGGGTCAATCCTAAAGCCAAGTAATCCTATAGGGACTCTTCTTGAATTCTCTTATAATGATCTTATCTACTAAATGCTAGAGGTTAAGATCATTATGTGGAATTTCAAGTTGAGTAAAAAGAAAAGTTTTGAATTTCTAATGGTGGGGGTACCTTTTCTAATTTTCTAAGACTAGTCAATAGGAAAGTCCTATGGCTAGACCTAGGCTACTAAAGAAGTTTCTAGACCTCAACCAAAAGTGAGGTCAACAGAGCCTCTGATATGAAAAGTTCCTTTTTAGAAAGGCAAGCATCAAGGGTTTCTTTTTTGCTACAAGCAATTTGAGCCTCTTATCATCTTGATGAATCTTTGCTCGTGTCTTAATCAGCTAATCTAGATTACAATCAACCTCATGACATTGTAAAAAAAAAGAGCAGTTGACATATTCACTAGCTTAGTTACGTACCAAGTCCACTAATCATCTAAAATTGTTACTTCCTTAGACTTAGAAGTCAATCTTTGCTCATACTCACCCTATAGGTACTTAATCTTCACGAACTTTGTGCTACAATCATTCAATGAGCCCCCAAATGGGCCACAACTCCTAATAGATGAGTAACCTACATTCAAAATATGTCTATAATAAGCTCAGATATTAATTGAATGTTCGAAAAAGAAGAATGTGTGGGGGGGGGGGGGGGTGGAGAATAAAAAGAAACCTACCAGCTCATCCACTTACTAACACCCAATATATAGATGCTTAAACACCTCCTTAGGGAAATGTGATTTCCAAACTTGGATCTTTCCATCATCATTTGGGATAAAAACACTATTAAGATTCATAAAAGGATTAACATTTTCTATGCGATCTTTATCACAACTCTTTATAAATTCCACATCATCCATTCTCCTTTTATTGAGAAGAGGAGCTTCACCATTCTCACAGCATTGGCATGACACTTCGATAAAATTTTATCTTGTGGGGGCTTCCCTCATGAACTTTATTGAACCTCTTTAATGGGAAGGCAAGTGATTTCCCTACCAGAATAAAAATACTTGTTTTGAATAGTTTGTCCCCCAACACATACTTGCCAATATAACATAACTCATGTTGAAGAGCCCTCAAGTCATGAAAGCTAAGAGCACTCAATATATGTTCCTCCCTAATTAATGTAGGATTTGGCAGTTCTTTCAATCTTCCTCACTTCTCTGAGAGGCCCCACTCATTTTTTATAAATAATCCATTTTTTTTCACTACTTGACCTGGTAGCTTAAAATTAAACAAGTAAAAATTGTTGTGGAACATTATTAACCTTTCTTTTTTTATACAATAAACCATCATAACTTCTAATAATAAAAAACCACTAAAAATCATAAATCACATTAAACAGTAATCAAACTCAACTAAAGCACCAAAGTTTGAACGTAAAATCATTTCACAATCTAATCTATAATAGTACAATAGTATTAGAAAATAAATAACATATTAAACTAGAACCACAGAACATCCTACCACTTAATAATTGTTGTCTTGTTATAAACCATTAACTTTTGTCAGAAATATAAATCTAAAATTTTACTTGAAATAAATAATTAATTTCACAAGAAATTCTACCACCACTTAGTGAACAATTATATTTTTATTATGCATTAAATTAATATGCAAATGTTATACATGAATATCCAAGAGAAATATGATTCATTAATTAATCAAACTATAAGCTTTTTTTTTAATGAACCTTTTATATTTCAATTTAAATTTTTACCATTTTAATCTTTTTAAAAATTCATACCAGTATCAGCATCATCCCAGAATGTATCCTAAAAAATTTATATCCATAAGTGTCCTCAAAAGTTTGTACCCATAGGTACCCTAAAAAAATTGTACCCCGTAGATACCCTTAAAATTTTACACCCACGATACACCTTTATCATCTCAATTTTCTTTTTCGTGCACGTGTACAATAACATCCTTATTTAGTACCATAGGGGGTAAATCTTGTTTAACTTAATCTTTTGTATTTCATTTCATTTTTATTAAATCCATTTAAAATCATTGAATAACCATTTACCATTTCAAGTTTCATTTATGTTCATTTCAAAGATTCTTTAACCTTAAATATGCATATAATATGAAAAGTAGTTATTTTTAAGATAACAATGCAAGTCCCTTTTAAATAAATTGCTAATATAATACAAATAAGAAAGGAATTACTCACTTTTACCTTGTAAAATGATTATTTCAAATCCTATAACTTGTTGTCTTAAACTAGATTCCTGGAATTAATTACAACATGACACTTAATATCAATAACTTGAATTGCATTTTAAAGATTACTTTAACTTAAATAGCAAAATACTAACCTGATTGATGGGTTTATCAAGTTTATAATTTCACTAAAAATAAGATAGCTCAATCAAAAGCGATTTTTATAACTACTCTTATATATTGCAAAAAAATTTGGGGTGATGCCTAGTGTGTTTCCTCTCCTTCTATTTGAAGGCCATAGGTTTTCAGTTGGGAGCCTCTTGAATTAGGCTAGGTTCAAATCAACATTGATGGAAGTTGATCTAATACAGTGGCCGAGGTTTGTGGTGTTTTTAAAGATTTTTGGGGCAATACTCTATGTTATTTTGCTTCTCTTATCATTGCAAAATGCCCTCAAGAATCCGAATGTTGAGTTGCTCTCCTTACGGTGCAGGTGGCTACAATATTTCGGCTTTCTAATTTTTATGTTGAATCTGATTCCAGGATACTCAATCATTTTCAATCTAAATCTCACCAGCCTCCTTGGAACATTGCAAGCATTATTAATAGAATTTGGTTCATCATTTCCACTAATAAACTCAGGATGTGCTTGAGTTTTAGTTTTAAGGAAGGTAATGCTCTTGTTGATTGGCTGGCGAGATTGGGTAATGCTAAAATACTGGCTAGCTTACAACCCTCTAGTGTTTTGAGAATGATTCTAAATGGGGATAATTTGGGAGTCCCATATATCAAAATTTAGTTTTTTTTAATCTCCAGAGTATTGTTTGGGAATAGGTTTTATCTTTGACTATCTTCTCTGTTGCACTTCTCTTTATTATATTGCTTTATTACGGTTGGACAAATGGTTTCTGGGGAATGGTTTTGTGGGTTGCCTTCACAGAATTACAGTGGATATTTTGTTTAAGGCAATCTTTCTGATGATTGATAGGCTCTCTATTGCTCTATTTATAGTTCTGTTGATTGATATGGTTTCACAACCACGACCTGCTTTCAATGATCAAGTGTTCCATGCTATTGGAAGGAAGTTGGTTTCTGTACTCTTGTTTGGATGACATGTTTTTTTACTTATTGTGGGATTGTGTTGGCACAATGCTTGGCTGCTCATCTCCTTTTGTTGTTTTTCCAGTGATTGTTTAGCATTCCCTTGCATTACAGTGCAAATTCTGTTACCTCCTAGATCAGCTATTAGAGTTTACTGGCTTTGTTTTGTCTCTAGAGCCTTCCATGCTTTGGATCCAGCAGTTTCAGCTTCAGCTCTTGGTTTCCTTCGAGCTACTATTGGTTTTTGGACTTTTTTTTTGTTTTAGATAAAATGAATGGGTATACATGTAAATGTTTTGGGTATACATTCTTTTATGTTTTGGTATGTTCTTTTCTAGGTAATTTTGAGTTGAATTGTAATGTGGTTGAGGATCCCCCTATGAGTGAGTATTATATCTTTTTTGGATTTTATAGTTTTGGGGGCTCATCTCGCTAGCCAATCTTTGTACTCAACTTATTTTGGATTAACACGTAGTAGTCAAATAATACTCCTTCCCATATATATATATATATATATATATATATATATATAATTGGGAAAATAATACTTTAAATATTAAAGTTGGTTGTAAATCTTCTAAAAAATTATACATAATGTGATGAATTGTTTTTAATTAATTAATTAATTTATATGCTAATGGGCTAAAGCTTGAATTATGAAAAAAAGAAGAAAAGAATAATGATTTATCTACACTAGCTTAGAGGTCTCTTTGTGTTAGAGACTTATGAAGTGTACTTTCTTTGGTCGAAGAGACTACTCAAATTGAAGTATGTGTTGAAAATTTATTTATTGCTCTCATTTGGCTATTTTTTAGCATGGCATTTTTAGATGTTAAATTTTAGAGAGAGCTCAAATATAACAACTTCTTCATTATGAGTAATGTACCTTAAAGCAATAAACTATATCTTTCAAAGATGTGATCATTCAAAATAATGTTTGTGGCACTATGTAATAATTTTTAATGTATATTTTTCTTTTAGATTTTGAATAATCATTTCCTCTCGCTCAAATCCTAGCATTCAAAACATACTTTTAATATTTTCTGTTTTATCCTAATAAAAATTTCTGTTGGGATCCACGTTTGCTCTGATCAAATTGAATTTTATCATATCGTCAAACAAAACTTTAATTTAATCATTATCTTGAATAATTTTATTAAACAAATATTATATCGACACTCGTTACATAATTTGAGTCTGGATTTCAATATTGAGGCGTCATGTGTCAAGTAGGCCAAACACAATGCAAATAATTGAACATTATTAAAATTTATGAGGCTCGTTGGACGCCTGATCACACATTATCGAACTTCGGATAGATTGGAAGTTCTATTCTAAAATTTTTTCTAGTTTTAGAATGGGCAAAAAAAAATTAATCCACCATCAATCAAATCCACCCACAAGCGCACGTTCATTCACATGGCCTCAAAAAGTGGAGTAGGGAAACTGTAAATCCTGAAGCTCCCACCTTTCTCTCCTTTCCACTCCGCAGTTCACTCCTCCATGGGGTTCACACGGAGCTCCTTCCATCTTTATTAAAGCGAAGCGCAATAGAATCTTTCGTAGGTGTGCTGCCATTGTGGTGGTTCCGGTAGTTGACGTGATTGGCGTGGCAACAAAATCGAAGCAATGAGGGTTCTTGCGGTCCCTTCTTCACCCCGGTCCCAGTTTCGACTACTTTTTTCTTCTTTTCTTCCATTTCCATATGTGGATTAAACTTGTGACAGATTTTCTCGAGTAGTAGAAAAAGAGCGGGTGTTTGGGTTGGGGTGGCGGAGGATGAGAGAGGACCTGCAGGATGGGCAATTGTGGAACAAGAGAAGAATCTGCAGTGGCCGCAGCTCATGTTCAAGGTTTCCTTCTGGCAATCAATGCCCTCTTTTTCCTTTTTCTTCTATCTTTTCTTGTGCTTCCTTTCTTTTTTCTTCTCTAACTTTGTTTCTTTGGTTTTTTGTACTCGATTTTGTGGTTCTCTCGGATCTCGATGGCTCGTTCTTGAACAAATGCCATTTGTAGCATATCAGATCAACCAAAAAAAAAATGCGTTTGGTTGGAAATGTAGATTTTTATGGGTTATTGGGCTTCGTTCTATATTCTTTCTCTTTTTTTTTTTAGCATAAAATATGAACGTTGTAACACTGAACTGATTTCTAGAGCTGTTTTCCGAATTTGGTAACTGCATATAAGGCCATTAACACCCTATCACTAGGTTCTTTAATTAATTAATTAATTATTTATTTAGTTTTTAATCACCAAGGTTTATTGTAATGTGTAGTGTCAACACCACCACATTGAAAAATTTGCTGAGGAAGCCTTAAATAACTTAATTTAAGCGTGAAGTATAGATATTAGTTAGCGAGATAATCTGCATTATATAATAATAATAATTTACAAGATGTTTTGACCGCTTCAAAATAGGATTTTCTATAAACTGAGATTCTTAATTCCTTATCCTGACATCATTATTCCTATTACAAGCTCCTTGTAGTTTTTTTTACTCATAAAAGAAAGGGCTTGAACAAAAATATTGTTTTGTATTTCACAATCATCTTGTTTGCAGGGAAAAATGTTCAATTGCCTCAGCAATCTGCAAGGAAGTCATTATCGGGGAAGAAGCGCGACCTTTCCTTCTCAGACATGAGTGATCCTTCAACCCCACGGAATTTTGCAGACTCAAGAAATATTGCAATATACACTGACATGATAGCTTTTACATTATTTGAGCTTGAGACGATTACGAAGAGCTTCCGTCCAGATTATGTTCTTGGTGAAGGTGGATTTGGAACAGTTTACAAGGGATATATTGATGAGAGTGTGAGGACTGGTCTCAAATCTTTGCCAGTTGCTGTGAAAGTACTTAACAAGCAAGGCCTTCAGGGACATAAAGAATGGCTTGTAAGCTGTGCAGCAATTCTTTTTATATTCTTGTGATTTCCTGAAATTTTATACTTAAGAGCCTTTCTCAAGTTTATTTGTCAGGCATCCATTCTTTCTTTTTGACCTTTTATCTCTGCCAATAACTAGGACATGATCCTTTTCACTTGTAAGTAATGGCATTTACCATTTTTTAATGTGTATTTTTTATAGCTTTCTAATTTTCAAGATAGTAGACTTAATCACATTGAGAAAAGTATTAAAACAGTTCACTGGGTCTTTGCAAGGGGTCACTTTAATCCTAGAGTTTATAAAAGTGCTAATTTGGTCTCCAGACTCTTTTAATATGGGTTGAGATAATCCCTATAATATTCTATTTCTACCAATTTAAAGAATCTAGAGACTAATTGGGCATTTTTATAAACTCTGGGACTAAAATTATTCTATGTAAATGGTCAAGGGACTATTTTAACAGTTTAATCACATGTATGTGGTATTATATATGGTTTAAAGCTGATTGAATGGGTTATGGTTGGGAAAATAATAATAAAATAAGTAAACGTCGATTTTCAAATGTTGAGATTCTTTGGCAATTTAATATGGCCAACATGGAGTTCGAGAACCTAATTAACATTATATATGATGCTATATTCTTATGCTTTTGTGCTTTTCAACCCATTTTTTTGGATAAATATAGCATGTAGTTGGTAAGACATAATGCTTATAATTTCTATAATTAAATTGGTGGTATTTTTTACCTGCTCTGGACAATTTGTGAAGATATTTGTTCATTTATATGAAAAGCAGCCTTTGTTCTGTTTGTCTGTTTTTTTAAACAAACCCTTTATTAAGTATGACCCAAAGGTGGACTGCATTTATAAACTTTATATCAAATGAAATATAAGTGATCTTAAAACTTTCTGTGAGTTCATTTGATGTTGTACTTTACCCTTTTAACAGTTTCATGGTTAAGAGTATTATTTTTCTCCATTTGCCAGACGGAGGTTAATTTTCTAGGACAGTTGAGACATCTGAATCTAGTGAAGCTGATTGGATATTGCTGCGAGGACGATCACAGGCTCCTTGTCTATGAGTTCATGTTCCGGGGAAGCCTCGAGAATCACTTATTTCGAAGTAAATAACTCAAAAATTTGCATCTTTGTCTTTCTACTTTTACTTCTCAAGCTAATTTATTTTACATAAATTTTCTTGATTTTCATGAATTTGCTTCTATATTCATGCAAGAATTATGAAATACTTTCATTGAACTCATGATTTTAACATGATAGTGGTAGCAACCCTATCCCAACTTAGCACACACGACCTTTTGGTGCCATTTATGTCTTCTTCCTGGTGTTAACTTTCATTTAAATCGCTCTCATAGAAATATCTTATGGTCCCAATTATCTTTTCCTTTGTTCAAAATTTTCTCTTAATTATGTTGGGAGCGACTAATAAATGACTAGCTTATATATCAAGTTTGACATTGATCACATATAGGAAGAGCACCGGGGTAATCATTTAGTATGAAATATGAAACAGTGGAAGCATAAGCAGAGGTTGCTAAAAAAAGTGCACAATATTCTAAAAAAATTAAGGTAGAATTAAATGAATCAGTTGGTCAATGATGAAGTGCATCAAACAGAGTAATAGAATTAAAAGGGCTGGCTTTGTTTATGAATTTATAGCTTTTATTATTGTATGTGCATGTTATAATATTTGGGATTTAAACTAGTTATTGTACCATCTGGTTGATTATGGTTGAAGATGAATTCAAATTTCATATTTTATTTTGTTTTCCAATGCAATGTTGTTGCATAGTCTTTTAAGTTGATGTCTATTGTTTAATTAATCTTTTGTAACCAAAATGGACAATTTCATCTCTCTCTACTTGGTAATCGAGCTTGCGATAAAGTATGTTGAATTTTGCTTTTGATATCCACTAGGGGTTATATTGAGTAAAGTTGGAGCAAGCATTCCCAAACTTGAATTTGCATTTTTCAACTTTGACTTGAGGGAATTCACAAGAAAGCTCAGGAGTTATCAACTCCATAAATTGTTCTTTATCAACCAAATCAACCTCTTAAGTCTTAACAAATAGCAACTTCTAGAACCAAGTCAACTTCAGCAACCATTACAAGTGGTATTGAGCCAAGTTCGAGCAAGTTGGCCTAAACTTGTAATTGAATATTTAGATTTCAACTATAAGAAATTTTGAGTTGAATCAAGTGCATTCAATTTCAAGTCAAGTTTGAATTGATTCATGTAAAATCATTTAATTATTAAATACTTTTAAACATTAATCATTATTATTATTTGTATAAATAAATCTAAAATATATTTATTATAAATACATAGATTTGTATACATGTCATTTTATGTCAAATTTAAATTTTACATCTGTTATTGATCGCAAATATAGGGATATAGGAAGAGTATTAGGGTTTATGTGGATTGTCCCGTGTAATTATATAATCCTCATAGTGAAAATCCTCATATGTGAATTATATAAGAGTATTGGTGTAATTATATAGGGATATAGGAAGAGTATTGGTGTAATTATATAAGAAATATAAAATAGTGGATGCATGAATAAATGCAATTAGAAAGATACACAATTGATATTCTAAATAAATTAAGGTAGAATTAAAGGAGGGAGGTGGTTAATGATGGAGTTCATTAAAAAATAATATAATTAAAAGGGATTCTATATTGTTTATGAATTTCTAGATTTCATTATTGTATATGTTTTCTTATAATATTTTGAATTTACGATACTGGTGTTTTTGGATGCTTATGATTAAAAGACAAATTTATCTTTAATGTTTTATTTTTCACTGCAATGCTTTTGCGTTATCCTTACATTAATGTTCATTGTTTAATATCCCTTTTATCGAGTAATTTTAATTTGTCATAAATATGTGACTTATGCTTTCTATATATATCCACTATAGTTGATATTGAGTTGAGTTTGCAAGATTTGATTTGAACTAAAAATTGAAGATTTAAAATTTGTGTCGAGCCAATTTCAAATTATGTTAAATGTGTTTAAACATTAGTTTAGTTAACAAACTTCAATTTTTGAAGATTTAAAATTTGTGTCGAGCCAATTTCAAATTATGTTAAATGTGTTTAAACATTAGTTTAGTTAACAAACTTCAATTTTGAAGGTATTTAAAATCTATTTATAAAGATGTATTATAAATATATTAAATGTAAATGCTAAATGCATATACTTATAAAATCTTATAAGTGATTGAACTATGAATATATATGTATGTATCAACATGCACATAAATATCCTCTTATATCATGTATGAAGGTATTTAAAATCTATTTATAAAGATGTATTATAAATGTATTAAATGTAAATGCTAAATGCATATACTTATAAAATCTTATAAGTGATTGAACTATGAATATATATGTATGTATCAACATGCACATAAATATCCTCTTATATCATGTATTGAGTCAATTTTGAGTTGATTCTAATTTATTTCAGGTAAACCAACTTTGAGTCGAAGCAATCAATTTTTTTTATTTTGAGTTAATTAAAGCTCGAGCAATATTTGAACGAGTATCAAGTTTCAAATATAACTAACAACCTTATATCAACTCTTTTATCATTTTCGACATATGAGGGTTGTCCTGTGAAGAACTAAAAATTATAGCAAATGAAATTGGCAAACATAAAAAAAATGAATAAAGTTAAAGAGGAAATATTGTGAGGTTGAGGATGTCATCTAATTGTGTGGTGAACTTGTATGTATGATTCTTGAGCTTTTTCTTTGATTTAGTATGGGTGATCTTTGCATTTGGTAAGGTCTAGTGAATGAATTTCTTTTGTATAGCATGATGATGACTTTTATTGATTTGGGCTGACCATTTCTCCTCCCCCATGGATATAGCCTGGGTTGAAGCTAAATCATGTAAATATTAGTATTTTCTGTCTTATTTGTTCTATTCTCTTTTGTGATTTTGCGGTTCATTAATCTCAATATTGATAGCACTATTGTCGTGAGTTTTGATATTTCTATTAGTACACATTGTTAAGCCACTTGTGATTATTTGGTTTAGTTCTAAATCAAATAGTTGAAATTTTTGTTTAGTAATATCAAGTGGTTAGCCATCACCGATAGGCATAAGTTTTTTAGTCGAATATAGTTTTGACCAATGGTGTATCGTGATTGGGGCCCAACTTTGATCACCATTAGATTCACTCCAGAAATTTTTTTTTTTTATAAATTTCATGATTGGTCAACATCAATGCTCAGTCATTTACATTTGAACTTGGACCTACAATTGACAAAAGTAGTTATGAATTTTTTTATCTATTGCACAACTCTAAATTGGAATAAGGATTAATGTTTATCATATCAATCGTCAATAGTTTGTAAAAAGGCTAATGATGATGTTCTTCATGATACATAATTTTTTTGTCACATAAAAACTAAAATTTATAGCTGCGTTTAATTTAATAAACTATATGTGGCCAAATATGATCATTTTTATGGACAAGCTTGATTGAGCCAGACATGTAGTTGGTAGTTGTTGTAGAGGTGTTCACTGTACTCCATCTTTGATTTTGTATGGGTGAACCTTGGATTTGCTTAGAGCTAGTGAGTGGTTTTATTTTGTATAGCATGATTATGACTTCTATTGATTTGGGCTGATCATTTATCCTTTCTCATGGATATAGCCTGGGTTGAAGCTGAATTGTGTAAATATTAATATTTTTTGTGCTGTGTTCTATTCACTTTTGTGATTTTTTGCTTCATTAATCTCAATGTTGATAGCACTTTTCTTCTGAGTTTTGATACTTTTATCACTACAATTTGTTGAGGCCTTTGGTAGTGTTTGGTTTAGTTCCAATTCTCTTAGGTGAAATTTTGGTTTATAAATATCAAGTGTTAGTCGGCACCAATAGAAAAAAGCTTTTTAATTGAATTTAGGTTTGACTAATGGTATATTGGGCCCAAATTTGATTCCCTTTAGATTCACCCGCTAACAATTTTCTTATAGATTTCGTGATTGGTCATCATCAATGCTCAGTTATTCTCATTTGAACTTGGACTTACAATTGGCAGAAATAGTTATACAATTTTTTTTACCATTTGCACAACTCTAAATTTGAATAAGGATTAATGGTTCATCATGTCAATCTTTACATAGTTTGTAGAAGGCTAATAATGTTGTTCCTTCATGATAAATCATTTTTATGTCACATAAAAACTAAAAACCATAAGTTTATTTAATTTAACAGACTCTTATCTGCTAAAATATGGTTAATTTGATGGACAATTTGGTAGGATTTTTGGCAAAATTAGGACAAATAAATATTTTATTACAAGAACATTAAACAACTCAACACAAATACAGAAGATAAGCACCTATAATTCAAGAGGTAGGCGATCTCTACCAAATCCTATAATTTGAGAGGTAGGAAATCTTCCAAATCCTAATTTTAAGACTCATGACCCAATCTCATGTATAATTGTAACCTTAAACATATTAGTCCTATAAATACTAACAACAAAAATAATAATAGAAGACAAAATCTTGGGTTAATAAATGACAATTGTCCTTAGGCATAGGTGTAACAGTACTCCCCTGCCCCCAGAAATACACCTTGTCCTCAAAATGAAAAAAACATGTTGCTGGATTAGGTAGTATGGCTCATACATGACATCATTATCTTGAATTCCTTTCCATTTAATCAGAAATTTGTAATGACCCTTATATGTTAGAAATGACGTCTTGTGCATATCTTTCGGCCCCATTCGAATCTTATGGTGCCATAACTTCTAGTCAATCTTAGAGAATATAATAGCCTTAAACAACTCATCTAGTAGCTCATCGATCACCGGAATCTTTGTCAACTCGGTATCATATGTCTCTTTCATGCTATGCCACTCGATCAAAATTCCCAACCCTACCTCCTGAATTGCTTTCATCATAGTCTTCAATATTACAAAAGTCTTTCACAAATTGGGGTAACCGTAAAACACCACCATCTTCTCGCCCTCTTGAATACATTGTAATGTCAAAAACATATCCTTACAAAGTCTCTTGCTCTTCTCCACCTGTCTCATTCTCATCATTACTTCTAAATCCCCTTTCACCTGAAAAAC